TCACAAATCATACTGCCTATTTTGCAGCCCTGGCATCGTGGAAACGAATTTTATGGAGAACAATGGCTTGACAAAGGAGCAAGCCCAAAAGGTGTACATATATACATAAGTGCTATTAAGAAGCGTGGCGCATGGACTCTTTGTTCAGAAACGCAGAGATAATCAATTTCAGCTCATTCTGGTGAAAAGAGTTCCACTATTTGGGCTCCAGAGAAGGGTCTCGTGATCAATGCACTTCCAAGTCCGAAAACACCCTATGAAATGGTTTTTTTACAGGTGTATAAGTTCTATGGAAGTCAGAGACATGCGGTGCCTCGTGGAAGTAATGCAAGTCCCGAAGAAATCGCCAACGTGATTGCTTTCCTAGCAGACCGAAAGCTGTCGTCGTACATTGTAGGACAAATGATCGTTGCTGATGGAGGCACGTCGTTGATCATGGGCGCCTACACCTACGACTTCGACAAAGTATTGTCCTCCTAAACGACATTCTGAGGTAGACAAAAACATTGAAATTGGTGTTGATTTGCGAAATAAATCTGTTTCACTACACTTTAGTTCGCTGCGGACGGTTGGGCGTGCCAGGCAGTGAGTGTGTTATCCCGTCAAAGCCGTTCTCTGCCTTCTTGTTGGCTAATGCCGTTTGGACTCCAGAAATTTCGTCTTCGAGCTCATTTTAAAAGTGGCAAGATCACCAAATCCGCTAAAAACTTGTATATAGGGGTAATTCAACATCCTGATCACGAATATGACATTCATTTTTGGCGCTGGCGCTAATGGATGACACTACGGTTACCTGCGCTCTGCTAAGGCTGAGCCCAGGAGGTAATCGTAGTGTCCTCTCTTGGCGCCAGCGCCAAGAATGAGTGTCATACTCGTAATCAGGATGTTGAATTACCCCTATATACAAGTTTTTAGTGGATTTGGTGACTTAGGCAATTTGAAAATGAGCTCGAAGACGAAATTTCTGGAGTCCAAACGGCATGCCCTTCTTGTTGAAGCGCGCATGCGGCAAGAAGTGGTAATACGAACAATAAGATACAGTACCTGGGAGGTGAGGGCCGTATCTTGTCGTTCTTGGAAGAGGGGAGGTTCCACGACAGGGAAATCTCATTGGTGCGTGACTGTTCCACGCAGCAGCCTGCAGAAGTACTAGATGAAAGATATCCATCAGCTAAACGCTGATACCTTTTCTCTCTGAAACAGCAGAGGGTGTCACTTGCTCCAGCAGCAGCGTGATCTCGCAAGACCCATAATGCGCGATCATGTCAATAAACAATAGAAGTGCGCTTATAGGACTTTTGTAGACCAACTGCACCTTACTTCGTGGATTCTGGTCCTTGCCATTCGTGAGGTGGGTTGGCCTGCAGCAGCGTGTCACTTTGTCCGCTCAAAAGTGTACGGGAGGAGCGCTTGAGGCAGTAACACTTGAGTGCCGTCCCCGCACTTCGCTCACGCTGCCGCCAAGCCTTACTATGGCGAAATGCGCTACTGTGCGCGCTCACTTCTGGTGGTTCTCTGTCTGTTATTACTGTTGGCTGCAGGAGAGTCCCCGACATCACAACCCTGTATCCGTGCTATTTGGATTACGAAATAGGCACGCTACTACAGCTCGGTCTACGGACAGCCTGAACCCAATCCCTTTGAATGCGTCGGTTTTGTGTATTTCTCTGCTCTCTCTCGTCCGCATGGCACTCTATGGTCATTGTGACTTCGCACATTCCAGCTTTTCACATATGATAAGTGGCTCACCCACCCCGGAGTCCCCTCCCCTTGAAAAAGCTCGTTTCCTGGCTCGCCATAGTTTCTTGAACTCTCGATGCCTTGGCAGGCGCTGCCCTCTATCTGTCTGCGTCTCTTGGTTTCGCAACAGGACCATGCACAAAAGTTGCAGATATCACGAAGCCCTACAACTCCAGGCCCGTTCTCCTCGCATATGGCAAAGACCAGTATCCAGGAAGGGAAGTAAGCTGTTTGTTTTTAGTCTCTTAAAGCTCCAAGACATCCAGAAGCACTCACTGTGTCTACTGAGATCTTCGAAAGGGTACAACACTAGTAAAGGGGCAAAGCGGTTGCAATGTGTTTCGGCTTTTCTCTAGATTCAATTACTCGAAGTGAAGGAGAACTTTGAGTAATACCTCATGGTTAGACATATCCCTCCGTTTCATTGGATCTCCTTTTGTCACTTTTGACGTTAATCGCGTGCATTTCTAATTACCACCAACTTATGTCAGAAGTGTATCTCACCACAAATGGGAACGGGTGCGAATGATTGCTGGGAAGCAGGAGGTGGGGGGGGGGAGAGACAAAGATCAGAAGTGAAAAGTAGTCTTGCTCGGGAGGCATGGCTTACATTATGTAAAAACCGTACTTAGAGGAAGAACTTCTGAGTAGGCTTTCCACACAAGATAGCTATCGCCCGGCGGCCGTAAGTCTCAGGCTGCGTCCATACTTTGCGGCAGCGTCCACCAGCGACCAGGAGCGTTCTGAGCGCCCTGCCGCATCAGCGATTGGAGTATAGATATTGATCTAGCGTCACTAGCGCCCATTAGCGTCCATAAATCTACCAGCAGCGTCTAGAGGGTTAGGGAGGTATAGGTGTCAATCTAGCGACCCTGAGCGTCTACCACCAGCGACCAGCAGAGGCGAGAGTATGGGGCGATAGGAGAGTATCAGTTGTCTGCTACCCTCCTATCGCCCTATACTCTCCACTTCGGACGCTGCTGGTCGCTGGTGGACGCTAATAGACGCTGGTGGTCGCTAAGTGGATACCTACACGTTCCTAGCCCTCGAGGCGCTGTTGATTCTTGGTGGACGCTGATGGTCGCTGGTAAACGCTGGTAGACGCTAGATCGATATCTACACTTTCCTAGTCGCTGACGCTGCCGAACACTCGGAGCGCTAGCGGTCGCTGATGGAAGCGCAGTCGCTGGTGGACGCTGCTGTAAAGTACGAACGCAGCCTCAATAATCGCAGGAGGATCGCACGTGTGAAACTTGTCTTTTATGGGTGTGTTCTCGATATACCAAGTCTGTGTTGTTTACTACAATTTATTAAAAATTTAAAAAATCCACTGATTTAATGTAGACAATCTGGTTAATGCTTTGTTGAAGTTTACGTATGAATTTTGAAATACTGTCGTTTGCTTATACATAACTGCATAATAGACGTTGGGATTTGGGCCTCCCTTATTCCTGTTCGTCGTCATCCCTATCATCTTCACTTTTTCCATCATCTTTGCCTTCATTATCATCCTGTTTTTCTTCACCTTTTTCCACCATGTACTCTTTTATTTTTTCACCAAAGTTCACGTTTGCTTTAACTAGCTCAACTTCTTTTTCACCGTCTTCAGATTTCTGTGTTTTAGCCGCACCCACTTCAGCGTCCTTCTTCAACACCTTCTCTTCTTTGTTTTTCTCTTTAGATTCACCATTTCTGCTTTCAGTTACGGTTTCGCCTTCTTCCTGAGTAGGCTTCAAGAAAAGTGCTTCCATCCAATCTCTTTCATTCTGATCCGACTTGCTTTGAACAAGGTCATGCGCTCCTACGCGGCCAAACTTTTCTTGTGCACCCTGCTGCACTTGATTCATCACTGGGAGCTCATCCATGATCTTGTTTTCAGCAGTTTTCAACTCAGCGCTCATTTTTTTCTCATTCTGAAGTGCTTGTAGAATTTGACCACTTTTTTGTAAAAGAGCTTCAGGAATGGTTTCAGCTGTTTTTGACAACTTATGCATTTTATAAATGGGATCTTCGGCAGTACTCATGGCACTTCCCTTCTTGCCTTTGGTATCTAATACCACTTCTTTATCTACGACAGATTCTTTTGGTACTTCGGATGTAATGGATACAGTGCTCACAACTTGCGGTTTTGTTTCTGTCTTCATCGAACGGTTTTCATCAGTTGAAACAACGCTAGGCTTTGTTAACTTCGGGATCCTTGATATGGATTTTCTAGTACGAACTGCAGCTTCGACTCTCTCCTGAGCTACACTTTTCGGAGCGTTTCTTTCCTCTGGAAGTGGTGAAGTCTCCTTTTTCCGATGCGTTTTTCCCTTGGTAAAACTCTTCTCTCTCGATAAGAACTCCAGTGCCTTTTTTGAATGATCAGATTCAACTGCAGCTTCACGCTTTTTCTTTCTATCTCGTCTGCTTTTACGTCGACGGCCACCTTCTGGTGGTGGAGAATAAACGTGTCTCTGCAAAGCAGATTTATGAGCCGCTGTAGCTGGCGAGAATTTAAAAATTTCCCGAAGGTTGATAAGGCAATGACCAAACGCTTCGTAACGAACCATCATTTGCTATCATGGAATAGGGAACTCATTTGCTTATCGTAATGTGGAGGTGCGGTGGCAAGAAACGCCGATCAACAAAAGCTTTGTCCCCGGATCGGTTCTGTGAACGCTACTTTACAGCTGACCTCTCTAAGGGCGACAAAGCTCGAACTCTATATCAGCTGGCGTTTGCAGGTTATTCTTAGGCTGTAGCTAGTTCAAAATGTCGCTATCATTCGAGCGGGAATACAGTGCGTAACGATCAACCCCAAGAGGGTTCGTTCTCTCTTATTTTCTTGTGCCGAGATTTTGCCAATGTTCAAATCAATGTTTCTTAAATAGATGAAGGAAAAGAGTCTCCGCTGCTGTCCCGTTTTGGGTGCGTCATCTTACCTCCATCCAAAACCATGGTGGCTCATTGGGAGCGATGTGGTTTTTACAATGGCCTGGTTGGCAGACTATGATGAATAAATGTTTTCATCCTCCCAGACAGGTCTGGTACCTTTTTACAGTCAACGAAGGAGAGAACGGTTGGTTCTTTAGCGGGCACCGATCCGGGATTTGCCCCGGACCGCATGCCACCGCCTGTGCCTCAATGTTGTAATAATCCTAGACCAACAGTGTGATGATTTGCTAAACATGAAGTGACTGTGTAGACCGATCTCATGAGCGGTTACAACACATCATCGCTAGAGAATTAGGGGGAGGGCGTGTTTGACCTCTAAATTGTCGGAAAGTAAGGTACGTAGGTAACGACTATTGCAAACTGAAAGAGGCTCCAGAGTGATTGTGGACCTTTCTGGACGCTATGAACAGATCGGCTCCCATAAATAGCACTACTGGAAGTTACCTTTTCGAGCACCTCTGATGGGAGCCTAATGCTTGGCGCACCCGAGAACAAGCCCAATAGGCGCTGGATGAAAAATTTTCTGTCACTGTTTCCGAGAAAATGCGTCCCAGAGTTCCACTCTTGTCACTGAAAAACTTGTTCACAATGATACAGAGGAAAAGGAACTGGAGAAGCGCCAGTTTTTTTCCCGATGAACCCCCAACGCAAGTATTTCCTTGAAGTTCGGAATTTTAAAGAAAGTTAAGCAGTCTAAGAATGTAAGACATTGTTCCTGTTCCGAAGAAAGCCTCGACTTTTCGAGCGGTCACACGCGGAAAACGTTATCGTCGTTCGAGGAACACAAACTCGAATTTGAAATTCTCAATAGATTTGCAACGATGCATATATTTGAATTAATCCTATAAAACGCTCGAGACCGTTTCAATGCTTACTCAAGGCGTTACTTTAGCTATCACTACTTTGTTATACTCTTCAGGGTCCGCAATCAGCCAGCTCGCAGAAATCTTTTCTTCCTGCATGCGGCGCGGGCGGCAGTTGCAAAGGATGTCCCACTTCTGCTATGCGGAAGTAATCGAAAAAACGCCGAGGTTTCGCAGTGATAGGCGGTCCCCGCCCCTTTTGATTTGTGCTTCTTCTTTTTCGTTCAGTTTTGCCACCGCGATATAGCGGTAGGTTCTCTAAGGTTCTTTATCATAACGTTGTATATTTCTCTTTTCTACTGTTACTGTTAGTGTCTCTTCATCATGTGCTCTTATAATGGTCATGGCCAGTACCAACATATGTCTCATGGAGCGTTTTTCTGCATTCAACTCCACTGTTCGGTTAGGTTGCACACTGACATTCGCAATTGCGCCCAGGCGCTCAAAAAGGTAGTCGCGGGTTCTGCTGTTAGGTGAGTTCGAACATCACAATGCGTGTCCTAGCGTGTCGACGTGCGTATGAAGTCTGGCAACCGTAGATGGGAGCGCAGCTGTAGACGGGAAAAATGCCATATTGAGCGGCGCTAATATTATGGGAAAGTATGGGAAAACAGGAGTGTACCAGACAGTGCGATTAGACGTCATGAAATAGCAATGTTGCTGTTTTGCGACCAGACTGCAAACTTTTCTATTATGCGATATCTAATACTAATGCGAACGGTACTTAGATATGGCTCGCAGGTATGGAGACCTCATACCAAAAATTTCAGGCAAAAGTAAATTTCAGGCAGAAGTTGAGAAGGCCTAGCAAGCTTTCATCAGAAGAAGGCCTAGCAAGCTTTCATCAGAATCTTGATGTAACCATGTCATCCCAGCCCGACATTCTCGCGTACTTTATCCAGCTTGCAGGTTTTCAACCTCAAGTCATTGTTAGACGAGCGGTTTAGTGACATTTTGTTCTTTAAAGGTTAGTGAAAGGAGGCTTAAGATTGACGCCCAGTAAGTATCGATTTTTAGACGAAAGCACAATTCCTAAGTTAAGCAGGGGTTTTAATTCATTTTTTTTCAGTGGAGCAAGATGGCTTCAGTCGCTGCCATCAGAGCAGCTCTTACTCCCTAAGAGTCTGTAAAAATTTGTGTCGGTCGTTTCCTTGAACACAATTCCCTGATAACTGTGTTTCGTTCCTATAACTTCTTGTCGTGTACAAATGTTCCCATTCGTAACCTCCTGAGTTAACCGATTTTTGAGGGGTCCTCAGCAAAAGGTTTTGCCATTTCTGCTCCTACTGGATCACATCTGATCTTCATTGATGAGTTATCTAGCAGCATTTATTAGCATTTACTAAGCACCTACCGATTAATGTTGACCTCCGTACCCTTATCTGTACGGTTTTGAGAAAAGCACTGGTTCCCCTTCTGGGTAGGAGCGTATCGCACAAAATCCCCATCACAGTGGTGCGCCCTGCGAACCATACAGGTGATAGCGGCGTCCTCAGCCCCTGCACCTTCTCGATCTTGTCGAGGAACAGATACATTATCACACTCGGTTTCTCGTGGTTCTGCTGTGAAGAATTTGGCAACGCACTTTTTTGTGCTGATCTTCAAGTCTGCTCTTTTCCACATCATTGATATGTATGCTGTTAGTTTGTTCATTAAGAGGAACCTAAAAATTCAACAGATCACTAAACTGGAAGAGTTATGGTGAGAAAAACATACCATAAGGCTTGTCAGTGATATAACACTATCTGGAGACACTTCTCTCGTTGACAGCAGCATCGGCTCTGAGATTTCCACTGAAAACGGATATCAGACTTATTTTAGTGATGTTTCTTCACATTCAAGCATATTTGATGAGGATATGAACTAAACCTTCAGCCACTCTTTCTCTCTACACAAACCTTTTCCCACAACACGGCCATCAACCGCCTAACTACAACTAGACGCGGTACATTTCTATGCCCACTCATATCTGGTGACTCTTTACCTCTGACTGTGTGTTTGCTGCGGTATCTCGGTATAGGTGGAAGTGGTGCTCTTTGAAGATAACGCGGGCAGAGTGCCAAGCGGCACTACCCTTCAGCCTCACTTCGCGCGCTCAAAAGTCGAATGTCATACACGTACAGATGCCAACCCGTTCTTTCGTATACGGTAGAGACCGTCCTTGAAGATGACGTCAAAGGTGCTACAGCGTCGCACGAAGCTTTAGTGAAGCATAAATGTGTCAGTTAGTCGCACGCCGGACAGCTCTTTTACGGACTAGGAATTGCTCATCATCGGACAACAGTGCGTGTGTAAATAATTCACTATGTTATCGTGGTACGAGCTCGATAAAATGATTCTATGAGCACTATGTCGACTGCAATTGCACTTCGACCTTACCATTAGGGCAACGTTGTGGAGAGATGGAGATGAAATACTCACCAATATGGCGTCCTCCCCATGATTCTGGGATGAATTCAGGATAGGCTAACATCACGTCGAAAAGGCGCAGTTTCAACTGTCAAAAACGGCTTGAAAATTTATGTAGCCCCGAGCCCTGGTAATATATTCACCTTTTCTCTTTCACAAATGAATACGAGAATTTCGTTTGAAAACTTTAGTTCTCCGTATCTATCCATGAGTTTTTCCCAACACTTGTTGAGACCCTCGTGAATTAGTCGCATAACCTAAAGTATAACATGATAACATATCCGGAACTTTGAAAGACTGGCAAGGGAAGAATCATCGCCGTCACTGAAACTTACTCGATAGGACGGGCAACTCATTTCTGATTCAAAGAAGTGACGAACTTCCTCCGTTTCATTCTGGTCCAAGCACTCTTCGAGCAATCTACGCTTTTTTATTTCCACCATTACCTGAAGGTACTAGGCTAGTTAGATCGGTCATATGTCGTTAATGGTATGCAATGTCAACGTGCTGTCTAACCTAT